ACCAGCCTGTGGGCACCCTGGATGCTGGACCCCAGGGACCTCCCTTGGATGCTTTTCTGGTCCTCTGACTGCACTGAGCCCCCCCAGGGCAGCCTTGGTGACAATTCCCTCAACCACGTGAAGCCGCGGCCTGGGCTGTATCCATCCGAACCCAGTGACAATTCCCTCAACACGTGAGGCCGGGGCCTGGGCTGTATCCATCCGAACCCAGTGACAATTCCCTCAACACGCAAGGCCGGGGCCTGGGCCGTATCTATCCGAACCCAGTGACAATTCCCTCAACCACGCGAGGCCGGGGCCTGGGCCGTATCCATCCGAACCCAGGGGCACCAGGCACTGGCCGCCATCACATAAAGCCCCAGGTTCTTATCTGCCTATTCAAGGACCCCCGCCCAGACCATTTCCAGTCCCTGCTCTCCCTCCTCATCTCTGCTCTCTCCTCCAGTGGCTTTGCCGGACTCCGCATCCCAGATCCCCCCAGCTCCTTCTTTTCTGGGGCTCCCCTGGGGCCTCCCCATCACCATCCAGAACCTGCTTCTGTACCATTGTCCTTAAGAACACTCCCAGAGGCTGGGCGCGGTGGCTCACGCCTGTAATCCCAGCACTTTGGGAGGCCGAGGCGGGCAGATCATGAGGTCAGGAGATCGAGACCATCCTAGCTAACACGGCGAAACCCCATCTCTACTAAAAATACAAAAAATTAGCCGGGCGTGGTGGCGGGCGACTGTAGTCCCAGCTACTCCGGAGGCTGAGGCAGGAGAATGGCGGGAACCTGGGAGGTGGAGCTTGCAGTGAGCTGAGATGGTGCCACTGCACTCCAGCCTGGGCGACAGAGTGAGACTCCGTCTCAAAAAAAAAAAAGAAAAAAAAGAGCGCCCCTAGACCTCCAGATCTTCCTCTGGCAGGAACGCTCCCCACTCTGGCTTCCCAAACACCTGCCTGTCCTCCTGCACTCGGCCGGGGGCACTGTGGCAATGGGGCTCACCTGCCTCCATGGTCACCTGTGCGATTTGCATTGAGCTCAGCCACACCAGGGAGCTGGGAGCTGAGCCATCTGTGTGGGGACACCATGGAGGAGCCTGTGGGACCGTGGGATCACTCTGTCTCCAGAACCCACACCTGCACGGTTGGGGGTCCAGCCTCAGGCCACATATTCAGCCCAGAGGATCCTCAAGTGTACCAGGCAGCCCCCGAGGACGCGATGGCACATCCTACCCAGGGAGGCCAAGGCTGTCCCAGGACACAGGACCTGCCCTAGAGTCCCCTGTGGTCCCAGCACAGGCTTCGGGGTGGATACCCCACACGGTGTGTGCAGTGCAAGGGCCATTTGTGTGGAATCATGAACACTGAAACCCGAGTGCTGACCTCTTCTGTGCTCACCCCAAGTTCCAACCCTGAGGGAAAGGCCGGGCCCCTTCCCTGCACCCATCCCGGCACCTGTCCCCGCACCCCTCCCAGCACCCCTCCCTGCACCCCTCCCCGGCTCAGAGGGACCCAGCACAGCCCTCAATCCCGCAGCTCACTGTGGCCGACGTGGGACCTGGCCTCTGATATTCCGGACATGAATCCCAGGGTGGCCTGAGCCCCAGAGTGTAGGGGGGTCCGGGAGGAGGGCTGGCATTTGGGGAGGGTGGCAGAAGGGCCACATCCACAGCAAGCTGCCCCAGGCTTGGGAGACCCGGTCCCTTGGTGTGCATGAGGCCAGCAGCTGGCCCGACAGGACGGGGCTGAGTGGGCGGCCGCCTCCAGTCTCGCTGGACACAACACACACGCGTGTGATGTTCACAGGCCATGCTTCTGCCAAGGGCCAGGCGCCCTGTGGGGTGCTGCCCTCAATCCTGTAACTCCATCTTTTGCCAGAAAAGGTGCTGAGTGAAAATGACGTGGAGCGGCAGTGGCTTTATTTGAGGCCAACTTCACTCTGCTCCAGTTTCTCTAATTTATGAAAGGATTGATTTGCAAAATCCAAGGGTGAGTGATCATGGTTATGGATCAATTACAGCCTGACACCCCTACACTCCAGGCTGAGGAAAAGCATGACATGCAGCGGGGCTAAGGCTCGGTGGGGTCAGCCCGGGGTCCCTGGACACTAGGTGGAGGGGTCTGTCTGCTCAGCAAGGCTCTAGAACTTCCTAAATAGGGCAGTGCCCTGCGAAAGCAGAGCCCACAGAGAGACACGTCTGTCCTTACAGAGGAAATATGGGATTGTTTGGAAAACCCGGGGGGACCAGCAAGGTCTCAGGACGGTGAAGACCTGGGGCATGAGGAGCGGATGGGGGCTGGAGAAAGTCGGCACCTCAGTAAAATATTCTAAAGGGAGAAAACAGGGGCATGAGGAGCGGATGGGGGCCAAGGAAAATCACTACCACCGTAAAATATTCTAAAGGGAGAAAACACAGCATCCATCAGGAACGTCTCTGCCCGCCATGGTGTTCTGCGAGCTGCCCCTGGATCAAGCTCTTCCTGAAACCCTCGACTGCGACACCCACACCTCCCAGGCTCAGGTCAGGAAGGGTTGGGAGGGGCTGCCTACCTCGAGGGTCCTGCAGCCGAGACCTCCGACAGTGGAGCTCCAGCTCCTGTTGGCAGTGCCTGGCGCGGTCTACGCTGGCCAGCAGCTGCTCTGCACTGGCCGTGTACTGGAACATTGCCCGGTGCGGGTTCTCCAGGCTCGCGCCCTTGACCCTGGTTAAGGCCGAGCCGTTGTGCTGCAGCACTGTCCACGGAACATCTCCAGGGCGAGAGCAGGAGAGAGAGGAGAAGGAGTGTCACTAGCAGCACACACAGACCCCGGGTGCCCACTGGTCCTGAGATGTCGGAGTCCAAGAATCAGATTAATAGGATTCTAGAACATTAGGTCCTGAGAAGGGGTGGCCTCTTGTTATGATTTGTGTTACTCAGTATCCGAGGGGATCCAGCCACGAACATGTGTGTTTCCAGGTATTTAGCCAGATGGAATGTTATAGGCGAAAAAGTAGAAGAAATGGTCATTAACATTTTGTAATGATCTAAAATTATGCAAACTACACCTTCTCTACTCCTAAAATGTGCTTTTCACTGCTGCACAAGAGCCCTGTGGGCACCCCTGGTACCTCTGCAGCCCTGATCCTCTGGCTGTTCCCTTCCTTCCTCACTAGGCACCACTCAGGAGGCCACTGGCCCAGAAGGGTCGGCTCCATGGCTTAGGCCTGGAAGGGCAGGATGAGGCTGGTCCCTCCTGCGCCTCGGCCCTGGCCCAGCTTCCCTGGTGTTGAGAATGAAACCTGCCCTGCACGCCGAACGCTGTGCGGGAGGAGGCACGTGGCCGCTCCAGCCCCACCCTGTGTGTGCAGTCCAGACACCTGGCACCATCCGAAACTGGAGGTTATGCAGTATGTTCTCATCGGGACTTGTCAAATTAGAGCCTGTGACACCGTCATTGGACTTGGATTTGTGCCTGCCCCTCTGTTACCTTCTCCTTGCAGAAGCCCCTCCTGCGTGTCCTGGCGAGTGCAACCTGGACCAGGGGAGTGAGACGCAGCCACAGACCGCTGCCAGCTGCATTCCAGACCACTCCATCCTGCGGCTGGACCCCTAGCCCTGGACCCTTTACTGGTCCCAGTGTGACTGACAGGTGAGGCCTCAGAGCCCAGGAGAGCAGCGAGGGTGAGGCCAGCAGCCAGAAGGGTCCCTGGAGAACCACGGCCTGGAGTCTGCAGAGAAACATGCATGGGCCATGAAGGCTGTGGCTGAAGGAGGCGCTGCCCACACGACCCAGCCAGCAAGTGTCCTGCCTGTCCTCCCCGCCTGGGACTCCCAGACGCACCTCCTTTCCCGTCCTCTCCTCTACATGAAGCCCCAGTGTTTCATCTGGCAGAAAGGTGGGGTCCCAGTGACCCCAAGAGGGGCCGGGTAACATTTTGATCATGGGTTCTGTGCCTGTGGCTCGATGGCAGGAGTCGTCATGGGGCTCACTCTGTTCTCAGTGATAGGGTTCCCTCAAGGCAGAAATCGCCCACCTGCTTTGGAGGTAAAAGTGTTCTTGGCCGAGTAGAGGCATGAGTTGCAAACAGGGCGGGGCTCTGCCTGCACGACCCTGGACACACTGCTCCTTTAGGGGATGGCCACCGGAGAAGCCAAATTCCAGCACAGCCAGGGGTGCTTTGCATTGCCAGCCTAAGTGTGGCTCCCAAAATTCATGTGCTGACATGTGAACATGTGGAAATCTGAGGTTCTAACCCCATGACCTCGAATGTGGCCTTATTAGGAGCAGGGTGGTTGCAGATGAAATTAGACAAGGCAAGGCCATAGTGGAGCAGGGCCAGCCTGATCCAACCCCACTGTCCTTGTGAAAGGGGAGATTTGAACACACACACACACACACACACACAC